CGGGGGGGGGGGGATGGGGGGGGTTGGGTATGCTGGGGGTGGAGCTGGGGGAATGCCTCACCCAGAATGGAAGGTACTGCACGTCACTGCTGCAAAGATATAATACATTAAAGCTGGATGCCAGGCAGATAGCTTAATTACGCATAAGTTGGAGCTTTTTTTTACCATTTGAAGCATTGTAATTTTGTACAGTCAGCACTCAGTGTTACATAGCCCTGCCGGACAGCAGAGCCAGGTTGGTGATCTCACTTTTCTCTAATAGAAGTTAATATGTATCTTTAGGCAAAACTTTTTCTAGTTTTGGATACAGTATGGAGGGGCTAGACCCTCTGTCAAGTTTTTAAAGCCATCTATGTCCCAATCCTTCATAAGCCTAATTGTGACTGATTTCCCTTTAAATAACAAATGTTAGTGTACAAATCACTGCACAGTGCAACTAAAGCAATGTGTCAGCAGTGTTGGTGCTATAAACAGTAAATGTTTTAAATGTTTCAGCTATCACACATTACTATGTGTAACACATACAGTGCTTTAGCGTCACTGACCAGTAAGCTGCCTATTAAATCATACTTCTTTATGCATCCTTTTCTCCCTGATATAAGAAACCAGTTAGGATTTAAGGATAGGGCCTGCTATTACTGACTTGTTGCAAACTTTGGGGCTATCATTCTGAATCTGGGTATTCTGAAGTGTGGGTGTGCCCCACACTTTAAGAAACGTTGGCCTAGGCACAGTCACTTGTCAGGGAGTGCACTGCTACCTCTCAGGAGTAATTAAAGAAAAAAGATAAAAATTTCAGGATACTGCATTGGCACAATTAATTATACTACATGTTCCCAATAGCAGCAAATCTAAATTTTTCAGGGTTCATATCCAATTTAGTGAAATACAGGAGGGCCATCACTATAATGAGGCAGCCTGAAGCTGTTGCCTCAGACGCCCCCCTACTGGCCAGAGCGTCTCAGGTTGCTAAGAGCTTCCCCCCATACCACTGGACTCAGGTGGCGAAAAGGCCAGGGACGCCCCTGAAATACAGTCTACACTTAAACTGAACAAAGATTGAACAAATCTTCCACCATAACCATGGTTGTGTATGGCCACAGACTATAGAGATATAAATACCTGCTAAGAAGTTGGATCAGCTGGTATATGGCCATCTTGGCCTGTCATTTGATTACTAGTTTCTATATTACATATGTGCAGGGAAAGGAATTTAACAAAATTGTAATAACAACTGTAGAATTTTCTGCTTTTAGTTGTACACGGCTGGGATTGTATACTACTGCCAGTAGACATGTGTTGTCCTACTTTGACAAGGAAGATGTCTCACAGTTTATAAGGTAGGGATATATGTAGCTCATTTGTATGAGTTTGTCCATCTCCAGTGCCTTTTGACATGTATGCATTTATACCCAGTAATTTGGTATGTTTTCCAAACACTTGTTTTTAATAAACAGAAGGCATACTCATGTATTTTTAAATATAATTCTGTATATTGGTACAGTTATTGTTAAAAGTGTTTAAATATGACTGCACTCCAGTCAGATAGAAAGGAGTGCATTTAGGTCACATGCACAGTAGAGACTGGAACAAAGATGGGGCAGCTCTGGGGCATACACATATACTAACTAAGAACATACTGAGCAGAGTAAGCAAAGGTAAAGACTTATGTGTGTGCTTGTTTCATCACATCATGCATGATCACACATGAGGTGATTAAACACTAAATATTAAAAAGTCAACAGATTTTTCTTTTTAATTTCATTGTTTTTTCACAAGGTTTTGGTGTAGCACACACACACACACCATAAGGTCTCGTTCACACCTAGGCGTATTGCATATGCGCGTCTGTCGCGCGTTTCCGAAGGCTACTTGGCTGTATCCCAATGCAAACGTGCAACAAAACGGCCCAAAGTAGTACATGTACCTTTTCAGGCGTGGGCCGTTTTGTAGCGCGTTAGGGACGGGCGGAAATACGCCAAGGTGGGAACGAGACCATTGAATACAATGGGATTTATATTTTTGAGCGTTTTGTAGAGCGTTCGTCGAGCGTAGAACGCGCTACAAAACGTTCAGGTGTGAACGAGGGCTCATAAGGGTATCTTGTTGTGTGTTCTTGTCCACCAGCACAGGTTAAATTATTGTAACAGGTTCAGCCCCTTTGGTCCATGGGTATGGGGGCACTGTTTATTGCGATGTCTTTCTCTGCTGCTGCTTTTTTTTTGTCAGTTCATCTGGCTCTCGTTTCTCTCCTTTCCTATTTAAACTGTACCAGAAATTATTTTCCTAATTGCAGGAACTGCATCAATCTTTTCATAATCAGGGTTCATTTGGTTTTTAATTAAAAGTGGAGTGCCCATTATTGACTACAGGTGATTCGGGAGAATTACATAATTTTCTGACAACATAGATTGCAGTGTAAAGTGCCCTGGTAAACATAGAGATTTGTTTTGATTGTTAAGACACTCTGCATATTTGGGGTGAACAAATGTACATGTGTTTGATTGGCGAGGCATGTGTAAAACTTATCCCAAATTCCAGAAATTGCACACTTTAATCTGAATCCCATCTTGAGGTGCCAATACACCTGCCGATTATCGTACGGTTATCGCGAGAAATCCCACGATCGTAAGATCGGCAGGTGTATGGAAGGCGTGCAACCGTTTCTACTGTACAGTCGCACGTCTTATGTCTTACGAGCATGTTTGAAAACCAGCCGAAAATCGCACACTGCCCATTCAGCATTGCAGTCATCGGAAGCCCAGCCCTCAGCAGGGGTGGCTTGTGATGATCGCAAGTACGATCTGCCTGTCCAAGATGGGCAGATTGTACGTTTTTTTAATTACCTTACAACCGATGGTTGTAAGGTGTATAGCCAGCTTTAAGGAGAACTATGAGGCGAGTGCTTTTCACTCACCTCATAGTTCTAGCCGACCTGTGACAATGAGACTGTCACAGGTCGGCTCAGTAGATCGGGAGGTGAGTGAACATATACCGGCGTTCGCTTACCTCTCGATCCTGCCACGGCTCTCTGCCGTGACAGGGGAGGGGCTGGATTCCCCCCTCCCCGCTCCGATCCGCCAGCGCTGACTGGCGGAGCGGACGAACCAAGCGCAATGGGAGTTGGTCACTGCCATCGGGGACATGTACTAATGCAAAAAAAAAATATGTAAATACTGTTTAGTAGGGCCAGGGCCCTCCTTTTTAAGTTACTATAAAGGCAAAATGGGAAAAACACCTTCACATTACATGCTTGGTGTTGTAAGTTATGATTCTTATGTGTTGAAGGTAAACTTCAGTCTTATGTAACTAGGTCTTTATTGTAATACACTTCCTGACCAGTTGTCTGTGATTAAAACTGTGGTGTTAATTGTACACAATGGAAACAGCTGAAGAGAATTTTTCTCAAAAGAAACCTGTCACGAGTTAGAGGATGTACACAACTAGGCATGCACCGATATCGATATCAGTGCCGATACCGAGTATTTGTACTCGCCCAAATGCTTCAATGCCTAGCTGATACTTCCTGTATCAGGAAGCCGGGCAGCGTGTCATTACACGGCTCCATGCTCTCTCGTCACTTGTGATGAGAGAGCATGGAGACGACTTCCCGGCCAATCAGGGAAGCTGGCTTCATGCTCCCTCGTCATCTCATGACGAGCGAGCATGGAGCCGGCCTCCCGGCCAATTGGAAACCAGGGCGTTGCGTCATTACACGGTGCCCGACTTCCTGATTGGCCAGACGGCTCCGGCTGGGTGCTGGAGAGGCCCCGGTGGTGACAGGCTGGACATACCAAGGTAAGAGGGGACAGACTTTCTTGTTAATCGGGAAGCCGGGTGGCGAGTCTTTACACGCTGCCCGGCTTCCCGGCTAATCAGGAAGCCAGGTGGCGAGTCATTACACGCCACCTGGCTTCCTGAATGGGTCTTCCGTTACTCGGTAATTGGTATCGACGAGTACCGAAAAAAAATTATCAGTACTCATACTCGGTATCAAAATACCGGTATCGGTGCATACCTAGTTGGTACACAGCAATATACAGGAGATAAGGAAAGGAAGTCTGAACAAACATGGCTGCCCTTAAGGTATTTGCCACCTGAGACAATGTCATTACGTGGGGCTGCTGGCAGAGAACAGTCACTGGGAGCTAGTGGGACCCGCTGATATCTCTTGTTCGGGGATGGATGTATGCCGGACCGCTCTTTCAGGGCCTCTGTCCAGCACCCCGCCTAACTAACTGACGTCACTGGTTGCCAGGAGTTTGCCGGGACTCTGCACAGAACAAGTCTGCCTCATTTTAGGCACTGCCCTGTACATAAATCATTCAGAAATCCTTTCAGTCTTAGTGAATGCAAGTAAACTGTATATGAATTCAGAGGTTGAAGGTGTTGGGGTGTGGAATGGAGAGATTTATCAAGAAGAGGGAGGCTTAGAGACACATAAGTGCATATATAGAACATATATGCTGGGTGTTTTGAGTGTGTGTATCCTTCCAGTATCATCATAATCATAAGGAGAGAGACCTAGATATGCATAGAAAGGGACTCACCAGACTTTTTTTAAATAATATTATTCTGAACATTTATATTTTTCTTATTGGTATTTTTTTTAGTGCCAACAATTTAGCGCTTTACATAGTGCACATTCACATCAGTCCCTGCCCTTAAGGAGTCTACAATCTGTCTCACATACATACATACATACATGCATGCATACATACATGGCCAAAATAGACAGGAGCCAAGTAACCTTCCAGCATGTCTTTGGAGTGTGGGAGGAAACCGTAGTACCCGAGAAACCCACGCAAGCACAGGGAGATGCAAACTCCTTGCAGATGCTGTCCCTGACCGGGATTTGAACTGGGAACCCTCAGTGCTACTCCACTATGCTGCTACGAGAATATTACCTGTTGGACTGTTCCTGTTCATCTGTTTCTGGGATCCAATAAACATTACACTCTCTGGAAAAGAACCAAGGTTGCCTGGATATTGCTTGAAGATTCTATTTATTCCTTCTACTTATTCCCAACAAACATATACATAAATATATTTATACTTTATAACTGCAAAAATTTAGTGTAAAATCCCACGCCCCTGTAAAAGTTGCAGCAACACTAAGGTAAACTTGCTACTTAAAATACCAGAGTGATGGCCATTTACTACATACAACCACAGTACAGCCAAGAAATAACGTGAAAAACAAAATATCTATATATAATAGTTCATTTGAAATTCGTTAGAAACTCTTTGATTAGTGTCTCTTAAATCAACACACACACACACACACACACACGCAGTCTGCTTCTATAAACATTTTTGAAAGAATGGGTCACTCTCAGGAGCTCAGTGAATTCAAGCGTGGTACCGTGATGCCATCCGTGAAATTTCCTTGATACTAAATATTCCTCTGTCAACTGTTAGTGGTATTATAACAAAGTGGAAGCAAGTGGGAACAACAGAAATTCAGCCACGAGTGGTAAGCCATGTAAAATGACAGAGTGGGGTCAGCGCATGGTGAAGCGCATAGTGTGTAGAAGTCGCCAACTGTCTGCAAATTCAAAAGCTACAGACCTCCAAACTTCGTGTGGCCTTTAGACTGGCACAACAACAGTGCGTAGAGAGCTTCATGGAATAGGTTTCCATGGCAGAGCACCGGCATCCAAGCTTAACATCACCAAGTGCAATGCGTTGGATGTAGTGGTGTAAAGCACGCCGCCACTGGACTCTAGAGAATTGGAGATGTGTTCTCTGGAGTGACGAATCGCGCTTCTCTTTCTGGCAATCCGATGGACGAGTCTGAGTTTGGCGGTTGCCAGGAGAACAGTACTTGCCTGACTGCATTGTGCCAAGTGTAAAGTTTGCTGGAAGGGGGATTATGGTGTGGGGTTGTTTATCAGGGGTTGGGTTTGGCCCCTTAGTTTCAGTGAAGGAAACTCTTAGGTCATCAGCACACCAAGACATTTTGGGCGATTTCATGCTCCCAACTTTGTGGGAATAGTTTGTGGATGGCCCCTTCCTGTTCCAACATGACTGCGCACCAGTGCACAAAGCAAGGTCCATACGGACATGGATGAGCGAGTTTGGGGTGGAGGAACTTGACCGACCTGCACAGAGTCCTGACCTCAACCCAATGGAACACCTTGATGAATTAGAGCGGAGACTGCGCGCCCAGCCTTCTCGTCCAACATCAGTACCTGACCTCACAAATGTGCTTCTGGAAGAATGGTCAAACATTCCATAGGCACACTGCTAAACTTTGTGGACCACCTTCCCAGAAGAGTTGAAGCTGTTATAGCTGCAAAGGGCGGGCCAGCTCAATATTGAACCATGGGGACTAAGACTGGGATGCCATTAAAGTTCATGTGATTCAACAAAAAACACAAACATTAAGTGTCCTCTCATAATCCACTGTGGATATACATGTACAATGTGTCAGGAACGCAGGCTGTGCCGGACTCTGAGGCCAGCGCGGGGACGGCCCCGTCATCGGCGTCCAGTTGCTAGGCAACGGGCGGCCGTTCCTCAGCGCTCCTCCTCTCCTTCTCACAGGCAGTGTGACGCGACGGACGAGGCCCGGCGGCGTCCCGTTGCTAGGAGACGCTCGGGTCGGGTCTCGTCTCCGGTTCCGCCCCCAACAATTGCCTCTGCCTACTTAAACTGAGGCTGAACACTTGCTCGACGTTCTAGCAAAATAGTACGTCGAGCAAGCTATTAGGAACCCCCATCGTGAGCAGAGACCCTGTGAGAGACCCTGTGACCAGCCTCTGGAGCTACAGTTCATCGATCCAGCCTGCAGATACCCCCAGCACCAAGGAACAAATACACTTCCCCTGACTGGACTCTCACCAAACAGCAAGTATATCACTACCATTCTATATACAGGGGAAGTGTTGGTACTGCCACCTTGTGGGGAAGTCTCATATTACATCCTCTCTGCTCCTCTGCTATCCACTCCATTATTGCTGCTTATCCATAGTTGTTGTCACCTGCATGTACTCATATTGGGCTTAGTGACGTTAACTGGCTCTCTCCTCAAACACTGTTGCACCATATACCCTGGACAGTAATTCCTTAAAACCTATGAGACAGATTAGTTCGATCCTTAGTGAAGCAACTAAGGAATCGAACTACAATTCACAACACGGCCCCAATGCTATTTAATTGGGAGCGTGACTATACAACAAGATTACAACTCAATGCTCCCAGGATAAATGGTGTATGATGTGTAAGGGGTTCCGACTGCACTCACTACCTTAAAGTGTTACCGCGAACCTCCCTACTGAACCATTTCCACTTACCTCCGCAGCTGAGATCCAACACTCGCCATCGTGCTCGCAGGAAGCGTTACACAATGTCTCTTGGTGAAACACTTCCCACATTTCCCTCCCAGGTAGACTGCACCACTGTGTAAAAAATGTCAATCCGTTCTCAATCAGTGTCACTTTCAATGTTGAATATCCACTCTTCGCCTTTCACCTTATTACTAGACCCATGCATAGCTCGAATACGCAATTTCTTTATTAATTCCGGACTAAGCTCGCCCCACCAACTCAAACATCGTCTACACTCTGCCTCCAGGTAATGTCTGTGTTCAACATATAACGATCCCGGCATAGATACAAAAATAAATCATTAATAAAATGATACTCACATATACCATCCTAAACAATCAATAAAACATGCACCATCCGTCCGAGTGTTACACTTACCAAGTGCATCTGTGCCTTTGTTCCTCCTTCCGTCAAGGACTCCGCCCTATGTACGTTATGTCTTATGCGACTTCGTCAGGGGCTCAGAGTTCCTTGACCTGGCTGTCACACTATAGTGTTTCTATGGTAACCAAAGTACGCTTAACACGATATACAAGGACTTTATTTGGACGCGCTAGACTTTGCTAAAAGAAACTCATGAGATTTTAATATGCACACTAATATCACTGGCACTAAGCTCGGGTCTGTATCAAACCGAGGTCTGCATTAAAGTCATTGGCGCTCGAAAGTGTGAAACTCCATAAAATCATATGATTAATTTTGCATAAAACTTTTGTTAAATACATTAATTAAAAAACTGTGTCTTGACACAAATATTTTTACATGTGACACTACTTGCACTTTATTTCATACCCAATAAGGAACCAAATTACAAACCTCCAAGTGTACACATAATTACATTTTATTTGAATATCATTGCTTATCTATAAATACTATTATGGACACTTGTGCACTTTTTGATTTGTACGTGTAGTACAACTGCAAAATTCATGTATATAAATTTATCAAAACAAACCCTTTTTTTTTCTTTTTTCAGCACCACAAAAAATCCTATTCCAGGGATTGTGGTTGGGATTTCCATTATCTTCTACATTTTGTTCATGATCTTTGGTAAAATAAAGGACCAGCATGAAGATCAGAAAAATGCAATTGTGTTTCTCCAGGATAATTCTCCAAATGACCAGCAACAATATGCTATTATGATTGATGTAGGATTTCGATCTAGACCTAAATCAACAGCTAAGGTAATTTCATAAAGTGCATATTGACTGGAAAATGTAACTCAAACAGTGGCGGACTAAAAAAAACAAAGCATGATTTACTTTTGTGAAGGACAGATAGAGATGCATGTGAAATGAATTTTTAGCAGTATGAAAAAAATAGATACCCTTTTTATGTTCTTTGCATAAATGACGCGCACACACACACAGTATATGTATATGTGGTAAACTACACAGTTAAAGATGCATTTCTCTACTTCTACAGAAAGGGAAAAGTAAGACTGTATTCCAAACCCATGTCCTCCTGTCAGTAAAGAAAAAACTCACTAGCTAGCACTGCTGCAGCTTTTTCTCTTCCCTGCTTGTTTGATTTTCCATGCAAAGATACAGTATGTATGTATGTATATGTGATTAGAGACAGTAACACTTTTTTAGTTTTTACTGACACAAAACCCTCAGCTTTTTTGTCTTTATGCACACCTACACAATGAACATTCTCCAAAGCCACATTTATTTATGTTTTAAAATAAAGTCTTACTATTTTAATCTGTTTAGAAAGTCTGCTGTGCTCGCTCCCATGGCTCTTCTCTCCACTCACACTTCCTGTCACTTAGAAAGAGCACGTTGAAGCTGTTTGTCGCTCATCGATCAGTGCGACAAACATCTCAACACCAGGAATCCCATTCATCTCTTTGGCCCCTGTGCACATGTCAGTGTTTACCACATGTTTAACACATGCAAATACCACATGCACTACTTTGGGGCAGATTTCAGCACTTTGTGTTCCATAGACTTAATAGGAAACGCTTGAAAAAGGCACATTGTAAATTGTTTTCTTTTGCACATTTTTTAGCGTGTTTTGTCCATTGATATGAATGTGCCAGAATCTGCTCACAAAACACGCAACTTTATATACACGCGTTAAACGCATGCAAAAACGCACATAATAGGTATCGTCTAGGTGTGAGGCCAGCCTTACAGCTGCCTCCTCCCTCTCCTCACTAAACACACTGTGACAGCTTCATTCCTTGTAATATCCTCTGCAGTGCTCTGAATTATCACAAATAATTACAACAAATCTACCACTAACATCAAATTTACAACAATCTACACAGAAAACCAACTTTATTTCAAATGTAGGAGTAGTATCCTCTGTGACTGTCTGACCAGATTCAGCATGTGAGCTGAGACTCGGAAGACAGTATGAGTCTGGTGACAGCTCACATGCTGAATCTCGTCAGAAAGTTGGTGAAAAAAGGCCAAGATCACAAGCAGCTCACCCCACACTCCCTCCTTCGTAAGCCAGAAGGGAAGAAATCTAAGAACATATATTAGTGTGGGAGAGCTGAAGAAATCCCAGCTCCTTGCAGAGTCTAGAGGGAAGGATTTGTGGGCGGAGACTGGGAAGACAATCCCTTAGCATTTTGTAGTCCTTCACATGAATGAGCACAGAGGGTGGCTACTTTTCAGCACACATAGGGATCATGGAGAAGAAAAGTAGCCACCCTCTGGCAGGAAGTTGTGGCTGGAGAAAAGTAAAACGGATTTTGGAGCATTTAGAGCTGAACAATGGCAAAAAAAGGTACACTCATTATGACAGGTACAGTCCTTTATTATTTATATAATAGAAGTTATTTGTATTATTTAATTTTTGAGTTTGGTGTTTCTTTAAGCCACAATATTATAATAAAACACTTTCTTTTACACTGTTTAGGTTTACATTATTTTACATGGTGAAGATGGCATGTCTGAAACCCGAGAGCTAGATTGTCCTGACAGACCTCTTTTTGAAAGAAATTCAAGGAATGTATTTATTATGAGGTAATGTGGAATAGCTTTGTCGCCTTAGGAACCATTGTAATCACACATGCCAGTTTAATATGGTATACCTTGTAACTGCCGCTTTTGCTGGACACCTTGGCCTGTTACAGTAAGGATCATAGGATCAACAGGTAGTAAAACTATCATGTTTCTGCAAATGACTGATGTTATTATACATGTAATATATAAACTTGTCTGATGTATGTGTCCCTGTTGTAAAGATCTCACCTAACTTTCTATCTGGGTAAGGGGAAGGACATGTAACATATGGCTCTTTTTTTTTTACTACAAACCGCAATCACCAACGCACATTTTGAAGTCATGCAGGTCTGTCAAAGCATTAGAGCTGCAACAACTATTCGATTTAGTCGATTGTTGTGATAGCAATTCTTATGCTACAAAGCATAACAATTGCTATCACTAGGTCATCTTAAATACCCCATTAACCCAATTAAATATCAATATCTGGTTCCCTCTCCTTAGATTGCATTAAACGCCCAAAAACAAGCTCGGAAATGTGTTATTCAGATTGTTAAGGAGCTGCCAAATTTGGGATCCCTGTAGCAGCTCTGTTCCTGACCCTTAATAAAACACTGAACAAGCTGCTAATTTGTATTTCTCTGTAGTAAGCAAGACTGTCACCCTGTGAATACTTTTCCAGGTTTAATTACAATATTCCAAGGCAATAAGTTATTTGGGAGATTATATATCAATCGAACAACAAAATAATTTCTTCTTATTTTTATATAAAATTAGTTTTGCAGTAGTGTTTACTTGTATGCCTACATAACTCATCATTCAACATTTTCTCTGAAATTTAGCTACAATGTGTTTTTTTGTGTTTTCAGTGTACCCAATAGTCTTGGTCCATTATGGAAAATTCATATTTGGCATAACAACAGTGGTCACTCGCCAAGTTTGTATCTCAGCCATGTGATTGTCAAAGACCTGAAGAGTAGAGCCAGCTGTTTTTTTTATGCAGAGTGCTGGCTGGCAGTTGATGAAGGAGATGGGAAAGTTGAACGTGAATTGACATGTGCAGGACATGGATTAGGCTTCAGACGGGTAAAAATTATTTATACCTAAGAGAACAAACAAAAACAACTGTATTACAATCAATGCTTGTAAAGCTGGCCATACGCCAGTAGAATTTTGTTTGAACACATTTTTTTGAATATTTGTTACATTTTTCTAATAGTTAATGGGGGTCAAATCGAAGATCCATTTCAACTGTAGTGACAACAAAAAAATTAATGACCAGAATGGAAATGTTTTCTCGTATAAAAATTCTAACAATGAAATTCTAAAATTAATGTGGAGAAAAAAAAAATACAACAATAGTTCATATTAAACCTATTAAACAATAACTGCAGTAGAATGATGCATTCTGTAATTGAAATGTTGGGCTAATCTCTAGGGATGTTGTGATACCGATACTAGTAACGGTGTCGGGGCCACTACATTTTCATTAGTACTTGTATTCGTGAAAATGCCCCAATACACAGCGCCGATGCCGGCTTTTTAAATTCTTAAATAGCCCTGAGTTTCTTGTTTTGTACAAGCGATCCGCCGGGATCACTTGTATAACAGCCTGCTCCTCTGTGCCCCCCCACCAGCCCCTCCCCTCCAAGGTCCGCCCCACCCTTCCCAGGTCTGTGCCCCCCC